ATCTGTTGTTTCGCCTCGGTCGCGCATGCGTCAGTGAACGGAGGGGCGGCTCTACCAAAGTAGTCTGAGACTACTTTGGACAAATGGACTTCCGTGTGTTCCACACGGCGCTTGCGCTGGTGGCCCGGGGGCGTGTCCAACGTCCTCCACAGCGTTGGGTATCCATAGCAACCAAGTACGAAGCTTACGTGACAGCGGAGCAGAACACGCCAGCGGAGCAGAACACGCCAGTCTCCCACATGTTGCTATTATGTAAAGCTGGCCACACACCTTACAACCATCGCAAGACTTTTGTCTTGCGATGGTTGTAAGGTCATTAAAAAAACGTACGATCTGCCCATCTTGGACAGGCAGATCGTACTTACGATAATCGCAAGCTGCGCCCCCCTGAGGGGCGGGCTTCCGATGACCGCAAAGCTGAAGGGCAGTGTGCGCTTGCGCACACCGGACCGTTCGGCATTTATCTTACGAGCATGCCACACACCTGCTGTACACGCTTTTGAGAATAGTGCAAACAGCAGCCATTTGGCTCATACAAACCAAATGCTTTCCCCAACTGAAGTGAGCCTAAGGATTTAGCTGAGCCATCAGCTAATCCTTTGGCTCTTTTGTGAATGACCCCCAAGGTGTCATTTAAATGCGTAGACTGAGGACATCTTGTGGTGTGTAAGAGGTACTGCAGGGGGCAGCACAGCAGAGGATGTGAGTACTGCAATCTGAGCTGCTTTTTGTTTTATATTCTTCCTGAGTGGGACTTACGAAAAAAAAAATATATAATCAAGCTATCTATCTCTCTATCTATTTCTATATACAGTATATTTACACCTGAGCGCTGTGTCGCCTTTAGTACATGAGCTTTTTCCAGGGAGTCACACGTTTTTGGCCCCATAGACTGGGGGGCACCTGAAGAATGCACATAACATGCATTTTTGCACCAAACAAATGTCTCCTCCTCCTAGTAACTAGCTTTTCATTGGCTAAAACAAAGCACTCATACCTGAAAAGTACACAAACACACTAAAAAAATCAATGCACAAAATCACATGAACGCACTCATGTGAATGGGGGCTCGATGAAGGTGAATTTACCCTCACTGTTGCATCAGATTATCAGCTTAAACCATCAATTGATTAAACTGATCGGATTAGTTATCTGTATGAAAAATCAATGCATCCATCTATCAATACCATGGTCCAAAAACGGTGAAAATTGGCTACATGACTGGCCTCTCTATGACCAGTCATGTAGCAGCAATATAGGCATTTGTTTGTTCTAAGTGATCACATAAATCTAATTGGGTGAATATGGGCCATGAAAAATACACCTATTGGTCAAGAAAGAAAACAAAAGATTGTATTGACTGACAGGGGCCCAGCAGGCTCCACCCACTACAGGGTGCCGGCAGAAATCGATAGGAGGGGCGGAGACAAGACCAGTCAGGCTGCACAAGGAGAGAGACGAGCAATGAGCGGTCTTTATCACAGAAGGGAGCGGAGATAAGACCAGCCAACCTGCACAAGGAAACAGAAGAGCAATGACCACTCCTTATTACAGGAGGGGGCAGAGACAAAACCAGTCACCCTGTACAAGTAGAGAGAGCAGCAGTGACGAGTCTTTATTACAGGAGGGGGCGGAGACAAGACCAGTCACCCTGCACAAGGAATGAGAGCAGCTGTGAGCGGTCTTTATTACAGTAGGGGGCGGAGACAAGAGTAGCAATGAGCGGTCTTTATTACAGGAGGGAGCGGAGACAAGACCAGCCACCCTGCAAAAGGAGAGACAGCAGCAGTGACCGGTCTTTATTACAGTAGGGGGCGGAGACAAGACCAGTCACCCTGCACAAGGAGAGAGAGTAGCAATGAGCGATCTTTATTACAGGAGGGAGCGGAGACAAGAACAGCACCCTGCAAAAGGAGAGACAGCAGCAGTGAGCGGTCTTTATTACAGGAGAGGGGCAGAGACAAGACCACTCACTCTGTCCAAGGAGAGCAGCAGAGACCGATCTTTATTATAGGAGGGGGCGGAGACAAGAACAGTCACACTCACCTTGCACAAGGAGAGCAGCAGTGAGCGGTCTTTATTACAGGAGGGGGCGGAGGCAAGACCAGTCACCCTGCACAAGGAGAGAGAGCATTCCTAATAATATTCAATCCCAATCATAATCATTTTTCACTATTATCATCATTTCTAACCATTTGAATCGGAAATGAAAAAATGAATTGTGCTGGTAAATTTTGATCGATGGTGTGCAGAGCAATCGATTGATTCTGACTGACTTGCATTTAATTCCCTTATACACTTTTGCCATAACAGCAATGGAAACATTTAAAATGTAACTACAGCCCCGACTTTCTTCTCACGTCTTTTGATGTCATAGGGAAGGATTAGAACTGCTGCCTGGAGCTCAGAGAGATTTTTCCTCACTTCCTGTCCTGTCGACAACATTTTCCGTAGACAGGAAGTGAAGGAAACTTTCTAACACCAGCACAGACAGAAGCAAAATTTGTTTCTTTTTTACATTAAAGTGCAACTGAAGCCCAAACTTTCTTTAGTTGTGGATAGTGGAGAGGGATGAGTCCCCCTGTCAGATTTATATTATTGTCTGTGTCCCCATTAGGAAGAAAGTGAAAGATAATCCCAAACGTTTGGTTGTCACCAGAACAGGAATAGATGGGAAATATTCCTAAGGGGACACTAGTTCTGGTGACCACCAGGAATTTCCCTCTCTTTGGAGGGTTTTTTTCTCACTTCCAGTTGTGACTATTGGACAGGAAGTGAAGAGAAATATCTCCAATGTTACACAGATGGCATAAAAAGATGACAGGGGTTATACCCCCTTTACTCAATCCAAAAGTTAAAAAAAAAGTTTTGGCTTCAGTTATACTTCAGGAGTAGCTTTTATTATTGCCTAGTTTCCTGTTACCAGTCTGGTAAAACATTGTCCCCAAAACAGGAAGTGAAAGAATCTCTCCAACGGAGCCCCACATAGAAGTAAAACCTGTCAAGAGTTCTAACCCTTCCCCATTCCATCCACGAATAGGAACCGCTTGTGCTTCATCCACTTGAATAAACCAATCATCTCAGCCATCTGAAAAGTTGCTGCGTCTGGGACTGGCCTCAGGCTGGATTCACACTTCTCCGTTATTGTGTGTTGCGTAAAAAACGCGCGCTGTGAAATGCATTGCGTGACGGCAGCCTAATCATGATGATTTCACAGGACCGGACCAAACACATGACACGCAGCATTTTTTCCCATGAAGTGTACCAGAACGCATGGCACGGAGTTTCCAAGCCTCGTAGTGGAGCTGGGTTGCATTAATGCAGATGTCCAGATTTTCAAAAGTTAACCCTTGCAGTGGGGCTTCCCCCTACCTGCACTATAGTGGGGAAGCTGCGGGCCCTTGGGCAATGTCCGAATGGTCAGTCCGCCCCTGGGCAGTGGGAGGGAGCAGAATTTTTTTGGGGGGTGGGCAATTGCCCCCTCTTGATCTGCCACTGTTGCTCACCCTGGTGGCGCCGCCCCTTCCTATGCGGCACCTGGGGCACATGCCCCCCCCTAGCTTCGGCCCTGGCAAGGCGTCAATTTTTCTCTTACTGTGTGGCCAGCTTTAGTGTATGTTGTGGTGCCATTCTATACCAATGGCACCGCAACACCCTAACATGCATCGCAGTAACTGGCATTTGTGCAACAACTTCATTTTCGTCTCCTCAAAAACTTTCGCAGTTGAAAGCCTTCCAATCGATGCATGCTGATTTACAATCCCACCCAACGATCGCCCTTGTCCCACCAATTGCAAATGTCGTCTTGTCCTTCCGATCTCCAACCAACCGACGCATGCCGATTTACCATCAGTCCCAACGATCGCCTTAGCCCGACCAATCGCAAAAGTCACCCTGTCCATCAGATCTTCATCCAACCGACGCATGCCAATTTACCATCCCACCCAACAATCGACCTTGTCCGACCAATCGCAAAGGTCGCACTGTCCTTCTAATCTCCATCCAACTGACGCATGCCAATTTACCATCCCACCCAACGATCGCACTCGTTCGATTACTCGCACAAGTCGCCCTGTCCTTCTGATCTCCATCCAATGGACGCATGCCGATTTACCATCCCACCCAACGATTGCCCTTGTTCGATCACTCACTAAAGTCACCCTGTTCATCAGATCTCCATCCATCCGACGCATGCTGATTAACCATCGCACCCAACGATCGCTCTCGTCCGACCAATCGCAAAAGTCGCCCTGTGACTGTCCCTCCGATTTCCATCCAACTGACGCATGCCAATTTACCATCCCACCCAACAATCGCCCTTGTCCGACCAATCACAATGGTTACCCTGAGCCTTCAGATCTCCATCCATCCCACCCAACGATCGCCCTTGTCCGACCTCTCGAAAAAGTCACCTTGTCCATCAGATCTCCATCCAATGGACGCATGCCGATTTACCATCCCACCCAACAATCGCCCTCGTTTGACCACTCGCAAAAGTCGCCCTGACCTTCCACTCTCCATCCAACCGACGCATGCCGATTTACCATCCCACCCAACGATCGCCTTAGTCCGACTAATCACAAAAGTCACCCTGAGCATTCCGATCTCCTTTAAAAGCCACCAATAAACAAATCAATGCATGTGTATTCAGACTAGGAGGAGAGGGGCTGTTCTGCCTTGTCAGTTGATTCTGCAGTCATCCACCAGAGCTGTGTCCTTGGCAGAGGCATGGAGTGACCTTGAATGTGTACAGTCAGGGTTGTGGTGGGGAGGGTGGTCGTCACTGTGCGCCCCTCTGATCGGGGTGACAATGAAGGACACGTGCGCTGATTGCCGCACGGCGCTGCGCTGATTGCGGAGGCTGGGAGATGCGATCAGTCACATAGCGGAAGGCAGGCACGTCTCTCCGCATTGCCTGCCTGGGGGACACCGATGCTGCAGCGGCAACGCACCCGGGGCACATGCACCGAGCCGCCTGTCACTCATCTGGAAGACATCATCTCCAGCAGGCTCGGTGTAAAGGAGGGAGGGTGGGGAGGAGAAGCCACCCATAGAGAGGTCTGCCAGGGATCTGCATGTATCCCACCCCTCCACTGGGGGAGAGCCGCCTGCTTTCGCATGTTGCCCACGTCCTGGGCTCTTGGAAACTTTACCCTGGGCGCCCGGAGGAGGAGGAGGCTGCACAATGGGGCACCTTGTCCTGGGTGAGGGTCTCGTCTCCCTTCCACTCTGATCAACAAGAACGCCTTGCCTGCTGCAGCCCTACCATAGATACCACAGGGGCCACCGATTGCACCCCCCTCTCCATCCTTCTACACGGGGTGCCCGGCCATGGGGTACGCGGACCCGTCTTCTGGCAGAGACCTGCTGGGCAACAGAACTTTGTTCTTCATTTTCATCTGCGCCTTTGCCCTGGTGACCTTGCTGCAACAGATCCTGTACGGCAAGAACTACATCAAAATGTGAGTGACTTGGGGTGGTGGGCAATGCATACGTATACCCATTTCTTTACTGGGTGGGTATGCATGGATCCCTTTCCTTTCCTTGTGGGCATGCATGGGCCCCTTTCTTTCCATGGTGGGCATAAAGGAATCCCTTTCTTTCCCTGGTGGGCATGCATAGACTCCTTTATTTCCCTGATGGGTATACATGGATCCCTTTCTTTCCCTTGTGGGCATGCACGAGCCCCTTTCGTTCCCTGGTGTTCATGTGTTGACCCTATTCTTTCCTTGGTGGGCATGCGTTGATCACTTTCTTTCACTAGTGAGCATCCACTGACCCTTTCTTTCACTTGTCAGCATGTATGGACCCCTTTCTTTCCCTGGTGAGCATGCATTCACTCTTTTTTTACTTGGAGGGCATGCATGGACCCCTCTTGTTTCCCTAGTGGGCATCCATTGACCCTTTCTTCCACTTTTCAGCATGTATGGACCCCTTTCTTTCCCTGGTGGGCATGCAATGACTCTTTCTTTTCTTGGTGGGCATTCATGGATCACTTTCTTTCCCTAATGGGCATCCACTGACCCTTTCTTTCCCTTGTCAGCATGCATGGACCTCTTTCTTTCCTTAGTGGGCTTGCACTGGCCTTTTCGTTCCCCGGTGGGCATGTATAGACCCCTTTCTCGCCCTTGTGGGAATGCGTGGGCCCCTTTTCTTCCCTAGGGATTGCATGGGTGCTTTCTTTCCCTTGTAAGCATGGATTACCCCCTGCTTTCACTTTTGGGTTTGCATATACTCCCTTCTTCTTTAATGGGCATGCATTGACCATATTCTTTTTTTTAGTTGGCATGCTTTACCCCCTTCTTGGCCCTTGGAGGGACAGTGGTCCTGTGCAGTTGGGTATCAAAGGAAACCCATCACACCCCGCCCCCTCTACTACCGTACTAGGTGTTTAACATGTTTATTTGTGCACAGATGGATTATTACTTTTGATATTGTTACATTAACCACCTTTTCCTGGCGGGCCAGTGCTAATAACAAAGGTTCTGGGCAGCAAAGATAACCAACTAACCCTTCATCCCCCCACTACTGTAATAGGTGTTTAATATGTTTTTTTGTACGCATCGAGATTATTTGTTAATATGTGTTACATTAACCACCTTCTTTTTCAGGGGGGACGGTGCCATCAGCACAGGTCCTGGTCAGCAAGATAACCCAATACCCTCCTCTAGTGCTGTGATAGGTGTTTTTGAAATGTTTATTTGTATACATTGTTATTGGATTGTTTTTTTTGTTATGTATTACATTGACCACCTTTTGTACATGGTTGGGTCAGTGCCACCAGTGCAACTCCTGGGAAGCAAGGTAACCCAATATCCTTCCTCCTTGACTATTGTACTAGGTGTTTATTATTATTATTATTACATAGTATTTATATAGCGCCAACAGGTTGCGCAGCGCTTTATGTAATGTAATGTAAGGAAGACATTACAATACAATTTAAGACAAGATGATAAGGAGGGCCCTGCCCCTGAGGGCTTACAATCTAAAAGAGGAGGGGGAAATGATACATGAGGAGGTAGCTGTGAGGGGATGAATTATTTGAGAATGTGATGGTTCAGTGGTTAGGTTGAGGTGGGATAGGGATGTTTAAAACGTTTATGTGTACAGATATGGATTGTTACTATTGTTATTATTATGTGTTACATTATATAACTGTTATTTCTCACAGTTATATATTGTAAGTGTCTAAAGTAACTGTATGCACTAAAGCTTGGCATCTAGATCATAGTAGATCTCACTACTGTTTTGGTTGTTTAAAATGTTTATTTCCACAGGTATGGATTGTTTTTATTATTATTAATAATAATATATGTTACATTTTATAACAATGGTATTTCTTCCTATTTTATTTATTAAAGGAGAACTAGGGGGTCTGGGCTTTTCCCCATAGTTCTCCTAAGGGTCACAGGAGAACACAAACTAGCGTTCTCCCGTGACCCAAAGCTCAGTATACCGCGAGCTACAGCTCGCGGTATACTGAGACGCTGCAGCCGGAACGGATTCCGACATTGTTGTCGAGATCCACCCAGCTGCGGGATTGACAGCTGGCTCTGCCTATCCAGAGGCAGAGCCAGCTGTACCCTCCCCCGTGCGTTCCGCCAGTCAGCGCTGGAAGATCGGGGAGGGGGGGGGGAATCCCTGCAGGGAGCCATGAGTGACAGTCACGGCTCTCTGCAGGGATAGATCGAGAAGTGAGCGAGCGACGCTATGTGTTCACTCACTTCCCGATCTACTGAGCCGACCTGTGACAGTTTAATTGTCACAGGTCGGCTCAGATTATGAGGCTGAGTGAAAATCACTCGCCTTATCATTCTCCTTTAAGGGTTAGATAAAAAAAAAAAGAAACGTTGTACCCACTGAAGCTTGGCATATGCCTTTCGGTCATGGTAGATATTTATGTCACTGCAGTATTGATGTACACAGTTTAGGGTACATGTTGAACACATGGGGCTGTATTGTGAGTTACAAGACTTTTCTAACAGAAAGGTGGTATAAAAGATGGAGGGCATCATGGTGATGTAGTTAAAGACATCCATGCTGGTGCCTAAAGAATAGTACACGGTGTAAATGTTGTTGAATGTCGATAGTGCTGGTGCCTATAAAACAGGGTATGATGTGAATGTGGGCAGGAGTACTGCTACCTATATTACTTGGTATGATGTGAGTGACCGTACTGGCACCTATAGGACTGAGCATGATGTAGCTCAGGGAAAGGCATTTCCTTCCCTGAGATGATGTGCATGGTCACATGTATTAGTCACAAGTGCCAGAAATCCAGGAAGTAAATGGAAAGCTAGTAATCTGCCCTTAGTAAACATGGCCACTGTCAGAAGACTGGGGAATAAAAGAGAAAAAACGAATGCAAAGAATACAAAGCCGGCAATTATCTAGAAGTATGTGCTTGTAGATTGTCATTGCTGAACATTTCTAAAGGTGTCTTTGTTGTTACTTTAAAGATCTGGGTAAAGGTCCGCTTTAAAGAACTGTGTACGCTATAGGTGGTAGACCTAATGCCCATAGAACACTGCAATATGAGTGGGTTTGGAGGTGCTAGTGCCTATAGAACTGTGATGTGAGAGTGGGTGGTGATACTGGTGCCTATAGAACTGTGATGTGAGAGTGGGTGGTGATACTGGTGCCTATAGAACTGTGATGTGAGAGTGGGTGGTGATACTGGTGCCTATAGAACTGTGATGTGAGAGTGGGTGGTGATACTGGTGCCTTTAGAACTGTGATGTGAGAGTGGGTGGTGATACTGGTGCCTTGAGAACTGTGATGTGAGAGTGGGTGGTGATACTGGTGCCTTGAGAACTGTGATGTAAGTGTGGACAGTAGAACTGGTGCCTATAGAACTGTGATGTGAGAGTGGGTGGTGATACTGGTGCCTATAGAACTGTGATGTGAGAGTGGGTGGTGATACTGGTGCCTATAGAACTGTTATGTGAGAGTGGGTGGTGATGCTGGTGCCTTGAGAACTGTGATGTGAGAGTTTGTGGTGATACTGGTGCCTATAGAACTGTGATGTGAGAGTGGGTGGTGATACTGGTGCCTTGAGAACTGTGATGTGAGAGTTTGTGGTGATACTGGTGCCTATAGAACTGTGATGTGAGAGTGGGTGGTGATACTGGTGCCTTGAGAACTGTGATGTAAGTGTGGATAGTAGAACTGGTGCCTAAAGAACTATCAAATTATTGCGGGGGGTAGTGCTGCTGCCAAAAGAACTGTGATGGGGGTGGTAGTGAGGGGCCTATAAAACTGTGATGTGAGAGTGCATGGCGGTACTAGTGCCTATAGAACTGTGATGTTAATGTGGGTGATAGAACTGGGGCCTATAGAAAAACTGTGATGGGAGTGTGGATGGTAGGACAGTAAGGTGAGTGTTGGTGGTAGTACTGGTGCCTATAGAACTGTAAATGGAGTGTTGGTGGTAGTACTGGTGCCTATAGAACTGTAAGTTGAGTGTTGGTGGTAGTACTGGTGCCTATAGAACTGTAAATGGAGTGTTGGTGGTAGTGCTGGTGGCTTTAGAACTGTAAATGGAGTGTTGGTGGTAGTACTGGTGCATATAGAACTGTGATGGGAGTGTGCCATCCGCACTACATTGGGTGCCCCTGGATGGCGCTGTTGAGCATAGGAAATTCCTGTACTGATCAGCGCCATCCAGGGGCACCCAATGTAGTTCAGATGGCATTGAACTTTCATTAATGGACCTCTAGGCCTTTCATCAACAAATACATAAGTAGCGGGAACCTTCTGTCAAAAATCTCATGGTCAGGATGATGAGTGAATCCAGAAATACAGGCAGGTCATGTGCAGATCTTGGCTTTTCCCTGTTTGGCCACGTACCGTTTATGTCGTGAGCCCCCCCTACTGGTTAGTAATGACCAAAAGGTAGGCTTGGGAGGAAAGAGTCACCCTAGACTTCAGCACGTCGAGAACCAAAAATATAATATATTGCAGTTGCATTAGTTTCATTTTCAGACTTATCCCCTTTAATTTCACCTGGTGATCCTGCCAGTAACACGTTTCCCTGTCCGTCCCATGTCTACACTCATTTCTCCATTGTATCTAAGGGGGCAGCCATGGTTGTCACATGAGCTGGGCTTCAAACATGTCTGCCTTTGTTCATCTCTATTACATGGGGAATGATGGAACTAGTATTTTAATTGATAAAGACAAGGTTTCTTTTGCTTTGTTTTGAGCTCACAGGAAGTGATAAGAACAGGGCATTTCTATATAAAACATCTGGGAATTATGGCGGGAAACCCTCATTAATGGTTAAGCGTGCTCCTGTGCTGTCACCCTGACACATGTGACCTGGTGATCCACGAAGAAGGTCCTTGTTCAGTCACTTCCTGTTATGGGTTGACAACTGTCTCCCAAATGTGTTTCTGTGTTGTCATCTACTTACATGTGACCTGGTGATCCGCAAGGAAGGTCCTTGTTCAGGCTCCTCCTG